CAGCTGACACAGAACAGCATACGCTGTTTACATCCAGCGGATACTCTCCAAAATGGCACTAGGGTGGAGGAGACGAGTTGTTGAATAAAGTCATTTTTTTCTTTTCTTTTGTGCACAAAAAGTATTCTCGTAGCTTCGTATAATTACGGTTGAACCCCTGATGTCACATGGATTATTTTACCGATGTCCTTGCTACGTTTCTGGACTTGGGAACATTTCAGTTGCGTTGCTGTCTATGCAGGGTCTGAGAGCTCTCAGATTCCATCAAAAATATCTTAATTTGTGTTCCGAAGATGAACGAAGGTCTTACGGGTTTGAAACGACACGAGGGTGAGTAATTAATGACAGAATAAATTTTTGGGTGAACTAACCCTTTAAGATATAAAATAGGGGGAGGGAGATTATAAAACTAAAACTACAAAAACTGGTAAAAAAAAAAGACACAAATTTTGGGTAAAATAAAAAAGAAATTTATAAAAATAAAAACAAATTCAAAATATCAATAAATACTATAATGGTATATTAACAATACTATACGAACTGTCACTCCTGTGACATAAAAGAAGCAAAGATGTTTGTCACTGATCAAACATGCAACGTACCAGGTTTGAATGTGCATTCGTTTCATTTGATTCCTCACAGAAAGCTGTCATATAGTCATATGACTTCAGTGGACTTTGAATGGAGCAGAGAAATCATATGGACTAATTTTATTTCTCTTGTCCTTTTTGGACTGCAACTATGATAATCTTTTGTGTTCTGGTCATACAGGTTTGGAACGACATGATGGTGAATAAATGCTGAAAGAATTTTGTCATTTTGGTTAACTACAACTAAAACTGAGGAAAAAAAAAAAAATCATTAATTGATATACTTTAACTGAAACCTATATATAAAAAAAACTTTTTCAGCTAGTTGCCAAGGAAACATTTCATTTTCTTTAGTACTAAAATAACTAAAAATAAATTCAAACTAAAACTTAAACTATTTTAAATGAAAACAGAAAATATACAAAACAAACTGTAATAGTATATTAATGATGCTAAAAACTGCTACTATGATGCTGTCAGTAAATTCATAGAGTATTTCAGATCTAGTTATTCTTGTGATACCGTGGGAACTGTGCACTTGGTCATTTGCTGGTTTATTATCTTTTAGGTTTATTTGGAATTGGCTTACTTCTGGAAATTATTCCTTCAGCATCTTTATTTTTACCTTTTGAAATCGACAGGCTTACCTGGAGTTTTTCACATCCAGCGAAAATGTTACTGCACTTCTGCAAGTGCTGAAGAAATATGAACCTCGTGTGAACTACCATATAGTCAACGTTCAGGTAAACACCAGTTTAAGAGCAAGATTACATCACACACTCTCCAGTTTTTATATTGACATTATGAAATCATGTCTTTTTAGGGCAGGAACACTACAAATGCCCATGATATGCAGCCCAACGCTGTGACATGGGGCATATTCCCCGGCAGAGAGATAATTCAGCCCACCGTCGTGGATCCAGTCAGCTTTATGTACTGGAAGGTGATGCTTTTTCCACTTAGTAACCACCTTTAACACCCTAGCAACCACTAAGCAATGCAAACTTATTAGGTTGTGGTTAAACAGCCTGCACATCCATGTGTGACACTTCCAAAGTCCTTATTGACCTCACATTTGTACTCTGTCGCACTGGCACTCTTACATTCACTATTAATGTCTCAGTAGCTGGGTTTCCATCCAAAGTTGCGAATTTTACTTTTGCGCAAAATTGGAATATCGCATAAAACATTTGCAAACAAGCACCGTTTCCATGCAACGAGTCAAAGAGAACAAAACAGTCACTTCCTGATATAAATCACTAATAAAAGTAGGAGAAGCTACTGAATATAATAATTTTCATATATAATAAATTCCTAGCGAGCAGACGAAACGCAATGAATGTGGTCATTGCTTTCGGAGGCGGATGCTGCTGTTTGGGAACGCAGTCGTGTAAGACCATTATACAGAAATACTTTGATGACAGACTTTGCTCGCGCATTTCCGAATGACCATAACAACATTTCAGATGCTGTGGAACAAGATCGGTCCGCTGGTTAGTCAGGTTTTGCGGTCCCATAGCGTAAAGTCACATGACTTTTCCGATGCGCTTGGAGGAATTTATTCGTAAAATGCATTTCCATCTCCCATTATTCGCATCAACCCTTTTTCACACAAGTAAAAAACCACCTCAAGCGAGCGTGTAAACTTTTTTGCGAATTAAGGGATTTTTATTTGAAATTTAGCGTTTCCATCACTCGTTTCTCACGTGATACTTCAAAATGCGTGTTAAAATAGGGTGATGGAAACCCAGCTAGTGATAGTAAAAGATGTACTAGACTCCAGACATAGCTCAGTTCTGTCTGTTCCCACAGGACGAGGCTTTTGCGCTGTGGATTGAGAAAAAAAAAGTAGCAATTTTGTTTAAAGGGATAGTTCACTTAGAAATGAAAATGTTCATTGTTCCAACCCATATGACTTCCATTTTTCTTTAGAACACAAATGAAGACATTTTTAATGTTCTCTCGTTTTTGTTAATCCATTGAAATTCCATGCAACCAAAATTTTTAAGCTTCCAAAAGTATTGTAACACAAAAAAGGTGCAATCCAAGTCTTCTGCAGTATGATGATGATTTTTTTTAACATATAATTTACATTGCTGTACGCACATAAACAAGTAGGTAAACAGAAGCTCAAACATGCATGTTTAATGTGCTGAAACATGCATGATTAAATTGCTTGATTCATTAAGATCATGTACTTTTTGAAGGTTGAAAGTTTTGCATGCGTTGACATTCAACTGATGGGGAAAAAAATGCACACGTTTTATGGATTTGGAACAACATGAGGCGAGTTAATGCTGATGATTCATTTTTGGGTGAACTGTCCCTTTAACGATTTTGAAACATTTCCCCTTTTTTTTTTTTTTTTCTGACAGTTAAGAACATTTTCACTCTTCATTTACAATTAAAATCCTTTCATGTTACAGTAATGCGAATTGGGAGTGAAAGTGTTTATATATATAATTAATATAATGGGGAAAAAAACATCCTAAACCCAGAGAGGTTTTGTGAGATTCCATCCTATAGTTTTCTACAGTCACGTGTGAAATGATACTAGAGTAATTGATTGTAGATTAGATTGTAATTGGTTTGTAACGGTAATTATTTGTGATTACTATTGTAATCGGTGTCAAAGTGGTGCCATTTATGGATCTAAACTTTTATGGACCCAGAGAGGTTTTGTGAGATTCCATCCTATAGTTTTCTACAGTCACGTGTGAAATGATACTAGAGTAATTGATTGTAGATTAGATTGTAATTGGTTTGTAACGGTAATTATTTGTGATTACTATTGTAATCGGTGTCAAAGTGGTGCCATTTATGGATCTAAACATTGGGATTTTTTGTTTTTGTTTTTTATTTTTTAAAGCGGTCTGACCATTTTTGTTCTGCTGGCATTAGAAAGCTGAATAAACATGCGCTCATCCCCCTGTGCTAACATGTCCACATTCTACGTCATCGCTGAATTATTTGTTTGCTTGTGACTCGCATAACATTTATATTTGGAGTTCACCTAAATCTCAAAGTCCATGCCTCTGTTGATAATGGTGAAGGATTGGTGCGCTGCCATCAGCAGATGTTACGTTAAACCTGAAGGGCTGAAGTTACTTCAACAGATGCACACATGAAGCATCACACTTGTTGGAAGGAAGCCAACGCTATGAACTTGACCTCGTTTTTGCTTGAACAGGCATGTGCTTAAGCATGGATATTAAACGTGTTCATATATATGTGATTTTTTTCTCTTTAGCATTACTCGGTGCGGTTTGCTTTTTAAAAATGAGTATCTTGTTTGCTCTAAATACGTGTATGAATCCATTACATACAGTATCTGGGTGTTTTTAAGCTCTCCGCATTCAAACATTTTTCAGTTTTAAATGAGAGTTTATTTAGCTGTTACATTCATATTCTGCAATAAACATTTTCAATAAAACGTGCCCTTAAAACTTCAGAGCATTTTGCAATTAACAAACAAGGATGAGTAATGAGTAATTACAATCGTTGAAAGCATTGGGTTATTTTTAAGCTCTGATTTCCAGGTGTGTAAATACTGTGGAAAGTAAATGAACAAAAAAATCCGTAGCAAATACTTTATTTTACGGTGTACTTGTTACAGTGCAATTATACAATTAAGTACTGAGTTGTACTAACATGTACTTACTATGGGGTTAGGGTTTATTGTTTGGAATTATGCATAATTTACTGTTATTGCTATAGTAAGTACATGTAGCATGTATAACAAGGACACAATAAAAGGATTGGAAAGACCATTCATATATTTAAACCAATCCGATGTATATTTGACATTTGAGGCTTCATTCTATAGAAAAGCACTAAAGGTTTTTCAGTTAGAGTGTTTTCAGCTTGTTTATTTTCATAAAAAAATACGGCATGCAGTTGCATCAAACAATGGTATAAACATCATTCAATGTAAATTGTGATAATCGTAATTAATAATCGCAATTACAATTTCAAGGGAATAATCGACAATTATGATTTTTGTCATAATCGTGCAGCCCTAATTGGAATATATCTAGAATTTGTAAAAAATTTGATTTTCATTAATCAAAAAGTATTGCACATTCTTATAAAAAAAATTAAAAAAAAGTTTTATTGGACAAAGAAAATATGGAAATATTCTACACCAATACTTCACATAAATACACTCTAAAAATGCTGGGTTGTTTCAACCCAACTTTGGATCAAATATGGACCAACCCAGCTGTTGGGTTAAATTTTTACATTAAATGTTTAACCCAAAAGTTGGGTTAGTCCATATTTGACCCAAAGTTGGGTTGAAACAACCCAGCATTTTTTAGAGTGTACATATAGTATATAAAAATTGCTTAGTACCTTGGCAAACTAAGTAAATTTCATTCCACATGAGAGGAGGCGGAGTCAGTAACCTGACACACTCATTCTAAACTCACTATAGGGCCGTTACATAAGTGACCCCTCTGAACCGCTGGCATTTCTCAAGGAAGCTCTGGGAATTCTGCTTCTTCTGGAACTGCTGTATCTATCAACACCTGTGCACTAATATCAGAGTGAGGCGGACTGACCAGACAGAATGTCAAATGCTTGAAAATATCTAGTGGAAAATGAGAACGTTAGTGAACTGCTTCATAAGTACTTAACATTAACCAGTACCCTCTGCTCACTTACAGCACTGAATGGGTTACAGTTAAGACACAAATTGGAATGTTTTAGATTAAGGGGTCCTTGCCCTGAAAAACGTTAAAGACCCCATTTTAGAATATTTATCTTGTAGAATCTTTCGCTGCGTCCCAAATGACGCACTATGTACTCAACCATGTATAGCATGAATTCTATTTGTCATTCATAATCGGAGTCTCATAGCCCCTCCCCCTTCGGTACGTAATTAAAGCTGCGACAATTGAGTGCATGAAGTGTCCAACATTCCACAATTCATTTTTTCGGTTATTTAATTGCATCATCCGGGTATTTAAAGTGCACTTATTCTTTTTGGAATTTTCAGAGTGAATGCACTACTCGCACTATTTATACTACAAAACGTCATAGTGCATAAGTACACGATTTTGGGACCTTTTATTTATATTAACAGTTTCTTGCAGCCACTAAGTAGTCATTAAAACTAGTTTGAACATTTTATGCAATTAAAGATATCTGAAATCATACAGCTAGTTAAATGAATAGTTCACCAAAAATGAAAATTCTGTCATCATCTACTCACCCGCAAGTTGTTCCAAACCTGTATGAGATTCTTCTGCTGCTGCACACAAAAATAAGACATTTTGAAGAATAAGTTTAACTAAACAGTTGATGAACCCCATTGGCTTCCATAGTATGGGGGATTAAAATATATATATATATTGTGGAAGTCAGTGAGGACCATCAGATTCTTTAAAATACCTTCCTTACTGTTCAACAGAAGAAGAAAAAAAAACTCATACAGGTTTGGAAAACTTGAGGGTGAGTAAATTATACAATTTTCATTTTTGGGTGAACTATCCCTTTAAGAAGAGGTGTGCTGTGACTTTTTCCACACTATGGGCTTGGCTGACTATAAACCAGGTGGGAAAAAACCCACCACACCTCATACTACTACACCTTGGATCTCACTGCTGTTTAGCTCTAGATAAAAGTCCATGTCTGAAACATTGATCAATACAATAAAACTGCTAAAGGAAGATGTTGCACATATAGAACCCAGTCTTGCATTAAATCAATCACAATGGCAAGCCCTGTGGGTTAATTTAGCTCAGATTGGCTGCAAGTGTTCATATCAGACCCTATAAACACTGTTCAACTACTGCAAACAATGTTGAAACAAAGTTGAAAAAGAAAAAAGTCAAAAAGGCCCACCTTCAAGTCACTGAAGTCATGCTCTGATCAACCCTCTGCTTGTAAACAGACAGAACTGGTTAGGGCTCAAAGTCTGCCCTGTGGGCTCGCTGCCACCACACTCGCAACACCTGCCAATAATAAACAAAAAAAAAAAACATTATTATCAATCTGTACACAGTTGTTTGTGTGGGTTAATCTTAGGGAATGGTGCCAATTGTGTCATGTGACCCCATGACTCATATATTGTATACCCAATTTACACAAATCCATCCATCACT